GCATGTATATTATCCTATCACAGAAGCATTGTACCCCATGACTGATCTGGATATGTTCTTTTTGACGATGAATGCCACACCATTCCTCTTCAATTTGTCATTCCCAGCATAGTAAACCATGTGGTCATCAGATTCAAAATGGTTGATACCAGTCCATTTCAGCTTACTCATACCTAAGATATTGATGTTTATGCATTACATTTCATTTTTGTGTGACAACTTGCAATTTTCCCAGATTCATACTTAGTACATTCCATGTTCCGATTTTCAATGGATGTTTACAACTGTTTCTCTTCATTTTTAGTTGTGCCCCATCAGCAAATGAAGGTCCCGTGGGCTTTTCTCCCACGGGCTTTACTCCATTCGCATCATCATGGTCAATTCTTTGAGGAGGCAGCTCTTCCCCAGTCACATTTTGAGTGCCTTCCAACCTGAGGGGCTCATTTTCCAGCACTATATCTGACAGTGTTTCTCTGCTATTCATAAAGTTTTCAGTGACTGAATATTTGGAAGTAGTTCGTCACTCTTTCTTCCTAGTCTGTCTTCGTGCGGAAGCTCATCTGAAACCTGTCCACCATGGGTGACCCTCCTGGTATTTAAAATACCGGTGGCATAGCTTTCAGAATCACAGAAACTCACAAGCCACCACAGTATGACAAACTGACACACTAGTGGTGGTCCCCGGACTTTAGGCCTCTCTTATTCTGGCTTCATACCCACCTGTACCCTGAATTCTCTCCTACTAAACAGGGATCAAGGAAGTGGCTAGGACATTTCTAGTCCAACAAGCATAGTAATACTGAGAAGAATAGCCTCAAAACAAAGATAAGGATATCAAGACCTGATTGAAGCAGCTAATTGAAGCGGCTGGCCACAGGCAGATGATCCCTGAAGATAACGCCTAGAGCGGACAGCTGTAGAAGGAACATCATTTCCAATAAGTCTGCATTCCTTTACTAAAAGTTGATGCATACATGCATAGGATATCTTAAAGGGAAGACCCAAGAGACTGGCTAGCTGTAGTGGCTTCTGGAAGCAGGGAACTGAGAAACTGGAGGCAGTGATGGAGACTCACATTTCCATACACAGCATCTTGCACTATGTCATATTCTTATAATGTGTATCTATTACTAAGTCAGTTGCCCTTGTGTCAGTTTCCACTCACGGAGACCCCATGTGTGTCAGAGTAGAAGTGTGCTCCGTAGGATTTTTAATGGATGATCTTTTGGCAGTAGATTGCCAGGTCTTTCTTTTGAGGCACTTCTCTCTAGGTGACTAAAATCACCAACCTTTAGGTTAGCAGCTGAATGCATTAGCCATTTATGCCACCCTATAAAATCAATCAGCAATGATTTTTTAAATAACATAAGCAGAAAGACAAGATGAATTGTTGGCCCTGACGGACTCACTTTGGGCAGAATGAAGAAGACAATTTCTGGGCTCTGGAGGTGGGGATGGGTAACAGTAGGTAGAGGGATTTTCCAGGCCCTTAGGAATCATGGTATGACTATTTGCAGAGTTTCTTAGCCAGTAAACAGTCCAATGTAGACCTCTAACTGCTTAAGAAGCCCTCGGCAGACTCATGGGTGTCCCTTGCTGAGTGGACGAGCCTGGGCTGAGCAGGTTTGACACACATGTTCCCACCAGGCCCAGGAGGCCGATGCCATCACTCTGGATGGAGGAGCCATTTATGAAGCAGGAAAGGAGCACAGCCTGAAGCCTGTGGTGGGCGAAGTATACGATCAAGGTAAAAGGGCAGGGATGGAGGGGGAATGGGAGGAGACAGGAACACCCCACCACCACCACCTACCCAGTCTGTCCTTCCTGGGCCAACCCCGGTTCCAAGGCTGCTCAGCACCCCTGTCCACAGAGCAGGTGTGGAGTTCCGGACAAGACAAACTCTCTGATGCTCCCCAAGTCTCTCTCAAACATCCCTGGGGCAGAAATGCCAAAGACATGGAGTGCTGATCCAAGTCTGTTCTTGATGTGGAGAAGCCCAACAGCATTCTTACTGATGGCATGCCTCATGCACCTTGCTGCAGTGTTGTACACGGAGCCAAGCGCATAATTGTCTAGAGTGAATAAGGTGCCAAGAATGCCCAGCTCAGAGCTCTGCCTGCAATGGAGTCCTGCAAATATTAGTTCCCTGTATTATAGTTTCCTAGAGCTGCCATAGCAAAATGTGACAAAGTAGGTGGTTTTAAAGAACAGAAATTTACTTTCTCACAGTTCTAGAGACTAGAAGTCTGAGTTAGGGTACTGACAGGAATGTGGGTTCTAGGGAAGACCCTTCCCGGTCTCTCCCAGCTCCTGTAGTCCTAGTTGTTGCTGGACATTCCTTGGCTTGTAGAGGAATCCTCACATCCTGCCTTCTCCCTGTGTGTGATCCTGTTTAAGAGACTGTCCTTCTCTTTTATAAAATGCCACTCAGGAGGAATTACTTCATTAACTAATGATAGTGGTGGTGGTGTGCCATGGAGTCAGTTCCAACTCATAGTAACCCTGCATAGGGTTTCTGAGCCTAAATCTTTACAGGAGCAGAAAGCCTCATCTTTCTCCTGCATAACAGCTGGTAGTTTCCAACTGCTGACTGTGAAATTAGCAGCCTAACTCATAATCGCTACGCTACCAGAGCTCCTTTCTCATTAACTAATAACATCTGCATAAAGAACCCTTTTACCCCAAACAAGTTCATATTTGTGCATGTAGGGACAAAGACATCAACAACAAATCTTTTTGGGACACACAAAAAACATACCTTTTGGTCAAAAGCAGCCTGGAGTGGGGCTCGGGCATCAGGGGAAAGGTAGTGACCAGGAGTTACAGAGCTCAGCAGACTGGAAACCAATCCTAGCTCTGCCCCTTCCTGGTTCTGTGACCTCAGACCACCTCTATGTAAGGCAAGAATAATGCTATCCGTCCTATTGATGGGTTACGGGAACCGGTGAATGTGGTGCACTGCACACGTGGTAGATACTCAGGAAGCACAATCCTTTGCTTAGTCCCTGCATTTCACAGCAGGCCTTCAGCTCTGGCTGCTCCCTGCCATTTCTATGTGTCCAATCTCTGTCACCCCCTACAGTCCAGCTCAGCTGGCATCTCCTCCAAGAAGCCTCTCCTGTTTCCCTCCATCTTTGCAAAGGGCCTCCTTGTGTTCCCAGAGCTCTGCCTACTCCCACTTGCCTCTGCCAAGGCTCTGTCCCCTTCTTTCTTGTTTCCTGAGGCCCATGAGGAGGTCCTAGGGTCTCATCTTTATATACCCTGTAGTTCCCAGTATAGGGTCTCACTTGCAAAAGGCAAGTAACTTGCTGAATGAATGATTGGCAGATGACACTGGGTGATAGACGAGGATAGTAAAACCCTGCAAACCAGTCAGTCTTTCCATCCAAAGCCAGAAACAGCCCTGCTGAGTGGGGTCCAAACACAGCTCTCCCTCCTTAATTGATTCAACACATTTATAGAGCACCAACTGCATACCAGTCAGGGGCAGCATAAAGCAGTGAACAAAAGAGGGTCCATTTCTGCTCTCAAAGAGTAGGAGTCAAACAGTAAATAAATAAATGCACACAGATATAGGTAGGTGCCATAAAGAAAAGGAATTCAGGGTCTTGAGAGAGAAACTAACAGGGGATGGGAGACTACTGGCCCAGAGCAAACAGGAGGGCTTCCCTGAGGAGGTGACATCTCAGTGGAGAATTAACCATGCAAAGAACAAGGGGATAAAGGGCCTCCAGGAGGGAAGAGTTGGTGTTCTCAAAGAATTAAATGGAGCCCTGTGGGTGAATCAGAGGGTGGTATAGGTCAAGTTGCTTGCTTTGGAAGGGGCCAGACTCAAGTGTGCACGAAACAACAGTGGCTCAGTTTTCTAGAACTCAAGTTCATTCCAATCAGGAGTATCCCACCAGCCAGGGTAACAATGCCAACGTGTGTGTGATGGTTTTCAGTTTCCATGGATGGGTTATCGGTGTCATGTCTCTAGAGCCCCTTCTGGGCCCGGGGGAGCTTCCTCACACCCATATGTACCCTGCAGTCATTCAGGTTCTGGAGTGGTTTGAAATCACAGGCTTCTGCTTCTCTCCCTGCACCCTCAGTCCTGGAAATTCCATTTTTATAATCTGAGGGAAGGCCCTGCCTGCTTCCCCCTGCTCTCCAAACCACTCTTCCCATAAGGCACTAGATCATGCCCTCAGATACCCTCTAAGTTCTCCTAAAGGCCTAGGTTTGGGGAAAGCAAAAGGTTTCCTGGCTTCTGCTGCTTGCTGTTCAGCTCCAGAGTTTCCCTGAGGTGCACATCTTTAGACCCAGGTAAGTGCCAGCTGTCCTGGTGTGGCGCTGCGGTTCAAACTGAAAGTTCAGTTTGAACCGCAATGTTGGCAGTTTAAACTCGCTAGCTGATCCTCGAAATTTCTATATAGGGTCACTAAGAGTCAGAATCAACTTGACGGCACTTAACAACAAGAAGTACCAGGTGGGAGTCCTGGTGGTGCAGTGGTTAAGCACTCCACTATTAACTGAAAGGTTGATGGTTCAAACTCTCCAATCACTCTGTGAGAGAAAGCAGTCTGCTTCTGTAAAGATGACAGGAAACTCTATGAGGCAGTGCTAATCTGTCCTATAGGGGCATCAGGAGTTGGAAGCAACTCAAGGGAAACAAGTTTGGATTTCTTTTTCAAGTCAATTGGCTTTGGAAGGAAAGGGGAAATGGATTCATTAATATCTCAAGATATCATCCACCGCTTGTGGCTGGAGATTGCCAGGGTCTCATAACTGCATGCTCTTGTCCTCACAGTCCCTAGAACATCATACACACGTACTCCTGGACACCCGATCACATATGTGCACACACAACACATGTACACCCTCGGCCCACAGCTTCTCCCTCGCCGCCTCTCACTTATCTCTTCTCCTTGCAGAGGTGGGCACCTCCTATTATGCTGTGGCTGTGGTCAAAAGAGGCTCCCACATAACCATCAACACTCTGAAAGGTGTGAGGTCCTGCCACACAGGCATCAACCGCACGGTGGGCTGGAATGTGCCGGTGGGCTACCTGGTGGAGAGTGGCCGCCTCTCGGTGATGGGCTGTGACGTGCTCAAAGGTGAGGCCCTGGCCCAGCAAGTGTTCTCCTCCGACCCTCCCACAAGGCAGGCTGTCTCCTCCAGCACTCTGGTTTCCCCTCTCCTTTCCCCTTTGTCTCGCCTTCATCTTTCAACTTTGAGGGTACAGCAAAGTCCCAGACTCCTCTGGTGCACAACTGGGGGTATCCCTCCCTCCTCTTTAGGGGCTGCTTAGACTTGTGTTGCCACCATTTGAGTTTCTGGTTGGCTGCCCTCCAGGACTCTCACCTACTCATGACATGTCACACAGGATGCAGCCAGGCTCAGGGTCCAACCACAAGGAACGGTTCTCACTTGGCATAGAACTGGATCAAAATCGATTTTTTGAGGATCCAAACAAGCTGCTGGGTTGTACCCAGAAGCTAACAAGTGGTTCATCAGAGACTAGCTTGTCCCCTGATAGATTGATTTTCTGAAAGAATGCTGGGGCAGAAGGCAGAGGTGATCCCTGGGAATAGTGGACAGAGGGTTGGCTGAGGGTGAGTTAGTAATGATGGAAGAAGTGAGGCAAAGGCCTAAGGATGCCCAGCTAAGGGCCCAGAGCCCCTGTTCTGGAGGCTGGGGCACTCGAAGCCTGGTAAAAAGCCCCACTTCTCACCTTTGGCATCCTTTCCTGGCTCCCAGCCAACCACCCAGCTTGTGCCAGTCTCTCCCCACAGAGGCATGCTACAGACACAAGGCCACCCAACACATGACAACCACATCCTCACCCTGCCTCCGAGGGTGGCTCCAAATCCCTCGTCCATGAGTGTGACCAGTGATTGTGGGGGGAGGGGTGGGCAGTGAGCACAATGGTCTCTTCAGGGTCAGGCTTTGCGGTCACACAGGCCTGGCTGGATTTAGTCCTGAATCAGCCATGACCTAACCCTAAGATAGGCTATACTACCTCATGGAACTTTAGTTTTCTCGTGTGCAAAACAGGAAAATTAACACTTCCCTTCCAATGTGGTGGTTAAACTTTGAGGTGTTAACCTCAAGTTTGGTGGTTCAAACCCACCCGCCGCTCCTTGAAAGAAAGTTGAGGCAATCTGCTTCTGTAAAGATTGACAGTTTCAGAAACCCTATGGAGCAGTTCTGCTCTGTCCTATAGGGTCACTAGTAGTGGTAGTGGTGGTTGTGTGCCATGGAGTCAGTTCCGACTCATAGTGACCCTATATAGGGTTTCCGAGGCTGTAAATCTTTACGGGAGCAAAAAGCCTCCTCTTTCTCTCACGGAATGACTGTAGTTTTGAACTCATAACCACAAGGTCACTAAGAGTTGGAGTTGACTTGACAGTAGTGGGTGGGTCCAGTGCTGTGAACTGTGACGACTGAGACAATTCTCACAAAACCTCAGTCCCAGGCACGGCACGGGGAGTGTGCTCAGTCCAGGAGGCTAGCACATGAATTCTACTTCTGTGCCTCCTTATTCCCAGTGGAGTCCTCACTGTTGTGCATGCACACACATAAAAACATGCAGATAAACATATGTACACGAACACACGCATGAGCACACATGCAAGTACTGAGTGATCACATGGGTGTGTGCCCATGCATATATGAACACGCATGTACTCACTCCCCCTGTACAGTTCCAATAGGAAGGGGAGCTTGTTTCAGAGATACCCAACACAACCAGTCGTGTAAACCAGCACAATTCAGGAGAACCTAGAAGCCATGTCCTCTCAGATGGTGGCCAGGTGTTGGTTGACTCAATCACTGGCACGTTTATTAAATATTCAGTCTCCTGGGAGAACAGCAAAGGAAGACTGTCCAGGTAAGGAGCACGGCATGACTGGCTTTGGTGCTGAGCCTGCATCTTGCTCATCACCCCCAGCACTAGGTTGTCTTCAGCACAGGGCTGATGTTTGCCTAGGGAGTGGGCACGTTGTCTCAGTACTCTACCACCAAGGCCTCCTGCTACTGCTTTCCTCCCCGGCCTGAGGGTTGAAAGTGGTGTTGTCTGTCAAATTAATTACACTCACTAAGTCATCATTTCTCTCCCCGCTTGTATTAACTACACATAACTGACTCTTAACTGAAAGCCACAATGAGAAGAGGGTTTCATGGATATTAGTTGCCCTGTGTGGTCAATGGAGCCCTGGTGTGATGCTGTAGGACTGGACTGTTAACCACAACGTCAGCAGTTCAAACTCACCAGGTGCTCCTTGGAAGCCCTATACAGGGTCACTATGAGTCAGAACCTACTCAATGGCACTTAACACCACCAACAGCAACGTGTGTTTTATTGCCCTGAGCCATTTGTGGATAACAATAATGAATCCCCTACCCGTCACTAACTCTGTGGACCCTATCTGGGAATCACAAATCTGATCCAATTCCCCAGCTTTCCTCCAGCCTACTGTGAGAAGGTGAGAGGAGAAGCTTCAGTGGAGTCTACGTGATCGCTCACCCACAAACCTGGGGTGGGGGGCAGGATAGGATCTGACTGACCCACCTTTCTCTGTCTCCTTCCTGCAGCGGTCAGTGACTATTTTGGGGGCAGCTGCGTCCCTGGGGCAGGAGAGACCAGTTATTCCGAATCCCTCTGCCGCCTGTGCAGGGGTGACACCTCTGGGGAGGGCATATGTGACAAGAGCCCTCTGGAGCGATACTACGACTACAGCGGGGCCTTCCGGTGAGAGGACTGGGGAGGGGGCTGTTGGCACAGGAGGCTGAGTCAGGGGAGAGGCTCTGAGGGCACCCGAGTCAGGAAAAACACCTTGACACCAAGTAAGTCATCAAGGGGGAAGTGACCAAGCCCTGTGGCCTCTCGTCAAAGCACCCTTTATGTATTTCATGGTTGGTTTAAAAACATCAAGCTGGACTATGCCAAACTAGACTTGCTCATAAAATCAACATGTTTGGTATATTTAGCAATGTGAGAGTTCAGAGAAAGGAAAATGGAAAAAGCAGCCTCTGCCACTGCTCTGTCCCCAAACCGGTACCTCAGACCAGCAGGGAGGGCTGGGGTGAGGGAGGCAGCAACACTCCTTACCCCCACCTCCTACCCCTGGCCAGCCTTGTCCCTGCCTCTGATTCAAGATGGCAGTATAGACAAGGTATCCGGAATCCAGGAGAATCTGTAGTCAAATTCAAACTCCCCCAGTGAGAAAGCATACTAGCCGGGACTAGGCCTCAGAGCCCTCAGAGCCCTCAAGCTGCTCTTGCTGCCAGCCCCAGTGTGGGAGGGTCAAACCTGCTGGCGCCGGCATTCTGGGTGTGGGCTGCAGTTTTGGCCACAGGTAGAAGAAAGGGTCCTCAGTGTCTACCAGTGGGAAACTCCTGCCTGCCCACTCTTCCCCTGTTCTCCACCCATTCCTCCTAAAGGTGCCCCTCTTTTGCCCAGAGTCCGGCCTGCCTCCCTCACTAGGCAGTAAAGTACAGAGAATCCAGAAAAGTCATGTCTCTTCTACTGAGGACTTTACAGAATGTCGTGAAAATGTCTTCTAGTCCAGTCCCCTGACTCATGGTGAAAGCATCTTCTGAGTGCTGAGGCTCAGATGATGGCAGAGCAGTACCTGTTGCCTGTTGCCTGAGCTAGAACAGGGTCTCGGGGAATCTCTCATCCTCATAGCAGACTTGGGGACGCTGCTTTGTTATCTCCATTTTACAGAGGAAGGCTTGGGGAGGTTACAAAGCGTACACCACTTGGTAAACAAGTCAGGGAGCAGATCCCCAGAGTTCAGAGTGGGTTGATGAGCAAGGGTGAGGAGACTCAGAGGAGCTCAACCCACCCAGGCTCACTTGCTTCCTGTCCACAGGTGCTTGGCGGAAGGGGCAGGGGAAGTGGCCTTCGTGAAGCACAGCACGGTGCTGGAAAACACAGACGGTGAGTGGGAGGGAGCTGAGTGGGAGGGAGCGGGCTCTAGCAGCGTCCTGGGTCACTCTGATGGGGCGGGAGCAGAGTGCTATTTCTTCAGTGCTGCTCTGAGGATTCTCTGGGTGAAGTGCCACTCCCATCTATGAAAAGGAGAAGGTGGGTCTCACCTATGAACTTCAAAGACTGATGTGCCTTAGTTATGTGGTGGGTAGACAGCTCTGCTCCACATAGCGGAATCAGATTCCTTTTCACTTAAAGATGAAAACCACTTAGAGTCAAGTTAACTGTGCTCCAGAGTGTTTTTGACGGCTGGTTTTTCCGAAATAAATCGTGAGGCCTTTCTCCCCAGGAAGCAGAGCATTTGGCCATTTGCAACACCCAAGGATTCCACTTAAAGACTGAGTTCTTTAAAAGAAAAAGAAAAGGAAAGTTTCAATACTTCGCAGACTTCTGCACAACAGATCTAGAATCCCTTTCTGACAATTTTCTCTTTTACTTGAAGAACACCCGTCCCTTCTCCTGATCAAGTTGTATTAAAACCATCCCAAAAAGATGGCAGCCTGCCCCATTTTAAAACAATTTCCACCCTGGAGAGTTCATTTGCTATTATGGTTGCTCTTTTACACCGGTCTCATTTTCTTTTTTATTTACATTGAAAAAAATGAAGCTTTAGAAAAGTTATGAGAATAGTTCAAAGAACTCCTATATATTTGTACCCGGATTCCAATTTTTACTACTTTGCCATATTTACCATTCTTTCTACATGTATGTATATCTGAAAGTACATCTGCCCACATCATGCCCTTTAATCTGTCAGCATGTATCTCCTGAGAACTAGGAGGTGTATTTAGCTACAGTATAGTTATCAAGTTCAGGAAATGTAACATTGGTACAATATTATCTAATCTGCACCCTATATTCCAAATTCATTCTCAATTCTAACTGTATAGTAAGTTTTTGAGTTTTTTTTTGTTTTAGGTCCAGAGTCTAATCTAATACATGGTATTTAGTTCTTATGTCTCATTAGTCTCCTTAGAACAATTTATTATCTTTGTTTTTTTTTTTATGACATTGTCATTTTTAAAGACTTGCTGTAGTTGTTAAGTGCCATCGAGTCGTTTTCAACTCATAGCAACCCAGTATCGGGTTTTCGAAGGTCGACTGGTAAGTTTGAACCGCCGGCCTTGTGATTCAAAAGACCTGTTATTTCATAGAATGTCTTTCCATTTGTATTTGCCTGATATATATTTTTAAACTAGGTATAATGTACATACAGAGTCCTGGTGTAACACTGTTGCCTAATGCGCTGGACTGCAAAATTGTTTGAACCACAAGGTTGGTGGTTCAAGCTCACCAGCTGCTCCTTGGAACTCTACAAGGTCGCTATGGGTCAGAAACAACTCAACAGCACTTAACAACAACATAATGTACATACAGCAAAATTCACTGTTTTGAAGGATGGTTGTATGAGCTTTGCTAAAACATACATGTATTGGTGATGCATAATCTATCAAAATCTATAATAGGCCATTTCCCACTTCAACCCCCATTCCCTGTAAATTTCCTCCTGTACCTCTGTAATTACTCCCTCTCCTCAGGCCTCCCTGCAAATTGCTGATTAGACTTTTGTCTCTAGTTTATCTATTTCAGAATGTCTGATCATTGTATGTCTTAAAAAAATCATTGTCTTATTTTATTCATCATTGGCTTGTAAATCAGAAAGCCAATCATGTAGTCTGACCTTCATGGAGACAAACAACATGAACCCAATTTGAGAAACTAAAACCAAATCAAACCCACTGCGGCCGGGTTGAATTCTGACTCAAAGGAAGCTCTAAGACAGAGTAGAACTTCTCCGAAGGGTTTCTGAGGCTGTGAATCTTTACCTGAGCAGACAGCCTCATCTGTTTCCAGTGGAGTGACAGGTGTGTTTGAACTGTCTACCTTGTAGCCTGATGCCTGACCACTGTGCCACCAGTCACCTTATGAAGAACCTAGGACCTCAGATTCGAGTTTAGCTGTCCCCAGAGCAGGACAATCTTACAAAACTAGGGTGACATAGACTTGGGCCCCAAAATGTTTTAAGCAAAAGAGAGTTTGTACCGTAGGGAAAGAATAGGGATGTATTGGGATGTATCAGCTTTTTAAGTTTTGATGGTAATATAAGGAAATAGTTTTCTAAAAAGAGTACCTAAAATCGGCAAGAGAAAAGGGTGGAATTGACCTAAATGTCTGAAGTCATAAAGTCACATGACTTTCATCATCCATAGCAATGAGAAACAGGAGTGGCAGATCGAAATTCTAGAAAGACGCATTTATCTCAAGGAAAGGCCAGATGATATCACAGCTTGTTCTCAACAAACAGCCGGTTTTCAGTAGCTTAAAAATAGAGAAAAGTTGGGAGTGGGGAGTAGAATTGTACCGAGTAATTGTTAACAGTGTTATAAACTGTCATGCAGCTATTAAAAATGACCTTTATGGAGTTTTCCAAACTGTTACTCTCTTGTTTTGGTTTTTTAAATAGCTTTGGAGTGAACAAAGTTTACATGATCCCACAAAAATGTTTGTTATATGTCATCAAGTCGGTTCTGACTCATAGCAACCCTGTATAGGGTTTCCGAGGAGCAGCTGGTGAGTCTGAACCACCGACCTTGAGACTGAAAACTGATCTGGAGGTCGAGTGCTTATCCTATAGCACTAAACCCTTGGAAACCACACCAGGATTCCTATGCCTTGGTAACATAGTGGGTTATGATCTGGGCTGCTAACTGCAAGATCAGTAGTTCAAATCTACCAGTCGTTCCAAGTGAGAAAGATGAGGCTGTCTGCTCCTGTAAAGATTTGTAGCCTTCAAAACCCTGTACAGGGTCTATGACACACAACCACTAGGTTAAGCATTGGAGCGATGCACGACGTTAAGCATTGGAGTGCTACAGGTCAGCAGTTGGAACTCACTTGCTCCTCAGGAGAAAGATGAATTTCAAAAATCCTATGGAGCCGTTCTATTTTGTCCTGTCGGGTCTCTATGGGTTGGAATCAAATTAATGGCGGGAGGTTTGGTTTTGGTTTTTTTTGAGGCACAGGTTTTGTGAGATAAAGCTATCAAGCTCCTGTTCTTCATTCTCAGTTCTGGGTTCTCACATGCTAGATGAGTTTCTTTCATACTTTGTCTGTGGCCTATGACACCCTCGCCTCTCCCAAGACTTTCTCTCCAGGAATCTCCTGAGCTTCTCTCAGGATAAGGGGTGGCTCACCACAGTGTTCCTGTGTTCCCAGGGAAAACCCTGCCTTCCTGGGGTCAAGAGCTGATGTCAAAAGACTTCGAGTTGCTGTGCCGGGATGGTAGCAGGGCTGACGTCACTGAATGGAGGCGGTGCCACCTGGCTCGGGTTCCAGCTCATGCTGTGGTGGTCCGCCCTGACATGGACGGGGGCCTCATCTTCCGGCTACTCAATGAAGGCCAGGTGAGTCCAGAGCACCCCGTGGTGCTGGACATGCTTGTTTCTCACCAGGATGGGTGCGCAGGACCACAACAGGATGCTCCCCGGGGCAGACCCCACCCAGCAAGCTTGTGTAGGATCAGTGTGAATGAGTGACAGACTAAGCAAGGAGAACTGGAAGAGGGGCCCCAGAGACTCACAGCCCCTCTGAAAAAGCTCCTTGTTCTAGTGGCTCTTGAAACCAAAACTAGGGTCAATAAGTGTATTAGCAAAATGGTAACACAACACATTTCAAGGGATTGTTCCTGCTGTTGTTAGCCATTCGTTAAATGTGATCATGTTTCGCTGAAATCGCTGTTTACAACATGGAGATAAGTTTCTGACTGCTTACGTGTCTGCAGTTTTGTCTATTCATATTTATTTTGCCCCATCCTTACTATCACATTAATCAATGATAATAATTGTCAAAAGAGACATTTACAAGCCAGGTGTTATAGGTAATACTAATATGTTCCTTTTTGAAATAGGAAGCCAAGCCCCCAGGGTTAAATAGCATGGCCAAGTGGCAGATCCAGCAGTTGAACCCAGACTGTCTGGCTCTAGAATCTGTATGTGCTTCACCTCTTCCCTCTGCTTGAACTTTAGACAAACCTTGGTTTGTGCCTGGCGCTGTAGTGACCCTGGGCCTGCACTTGTTACAAACCTATTGTGTGTGACTTAGGGCTGCCTTTGATATCTCATCAATAGTCATAAACACTATCCTAAATGTAGGCATGGCAGTGGGTGGTATTGCTTATAATACTGCCATCTAAAAGATCAAAGATATGTTTATGTTATTTTTTTGTTTGTTTTTTCATTAAAACTACAGAATTAAAGATTGACCCTAGAGAAGTATCAGACTCTTACCCCATGCCACCTGGCTGTCCCTGAACCATCACCTGGCTGTCCCTGGCAGGAGCCAGGAACTATGCTGAAAAGCATCCTGGGTTGACAGAGCCTGGAAGGCAGTTGCTCCTCCCTGAGCAGCAGGATCAAAAGCCCAGGCTAGGCCCTGAGCAAGGAGCCAGCTCAGAGTCAGCACTAGCAGGAGGTCCCTGGGGACAAGACACACAGCAGGGTCATCTTGAGCCAGACCAGCTCCTTGGCGTTCACCTGAGTTGCCCATGCAGACTTACACTGCCCTTGAAGGAGTCCTTCCTTAGAACTTTTCTTCAGGTCAACCAGAGCCCCATTGCTTATCTTCATATACCCCACAACCAGGCCCTAAAACATGTTACAAACAGCTGAGTGTGGCCAGGCTGAAGATCAGGCCTATATGGAGACCTAGACCTGGGGTGGCTTGTGGAGGAGGTGGTCTCATCTGGTCCTAAGAGTGGGCACCTGAGGTCACAGGAAAAGGGAGATGGTGGCTGAACTGGGAGGAAAGGTGGGGCGGGGGCCCCTGCAGCACCCTACCCAGCTCCACCCCTTCCCTTTGCACACAGCGTCTGTTCAGTCATGAGGGCAGCAGTTTCCAGATGTTCAGTTCTGAGGCCTATGGCCAGAAGAACCTGCTGTTCAAAGATGCCACTTCAGAGCTGGTGCCCATTGCTACCCAGACATACGAAGCATGGCTAGGCCAAGAGTACCTGCATGCCATGAAGGGTCTCCTCTGTGATCCCAACCGTAAGTCCACCTGTTTGCTCCTCCTAGTTCCAGCTGACCTGACCATGGTTGTGACAGGGCTTTCTGGTTGGTGGTCAGGTGAGGACTCACTCTGGGAGGCCTTGGTGCCTCTTGGTGTCTGTGCGAACCTGTCACTTCTACTTCTTTGCCTTTGGGGACTGGAGACAAAGTACTCTGGTATCTGGTGTCTGGCTATGTCTGGAAGTCCTGCCCACTCAAAGTATCAGGATCCAGGATACCATGGTCTGTCCAGGAACCACAGAGGGGGACATAAGTCCTATCAGTTCCCCACAATGTCTCCCTCATCCTCCTCCCACCCCATGACAGCCACTTCCTGCCTCTACCCCTCTCCCTAATTCCACCTCACCCACCCCACACTCTGCCTTCAGTCAGAGAAATGGTGAGACAGGCACAGGGTTGGATACTCAACACACATGACCTGCTTCAAGCCTCCTCACAGCCCCATGAAAGAGGGACCGTTGCCTAAGTGCTCTCCGTATAAGAAAATGGAATCAGCCACAAGCTAACAAGGGGAAGAGTCTGAAGTTCCCTTGGGTCTGGCTCCAATCTCTTTCTACTGAGGTTCTAGCTCCACAATCCTCACCTGGTCAAGCCATGTGATCTGCTCCCTGGCGCCCAGTGAGCCTGGCAATGACCACATGTGTGTATCCATGCAGGGCTTCCACCCTACCTGCGCTGGTGTGTGCTGTCCACTCCCGAGATCCAGAAGTGTGGGGACATGGCTGTGGCCTTTAGCCGGCAGAAGCTCAAGCCGGAGATCCAGTGTGTGTCGGCTGATTCCCCCCAGCACTGCATGGAGCACATCCAGGTGGGGGCCATGCCAGGGAGGGGCTGAGTGGACCCAGGGGCCAGGCGGGGAGCTTCACTGATCTGGGCAGAAGGAGTACAAGACTGGCCTAGCTTTGCCTTGACTGACCGCGGGACCAGTCCCTTCACATTCTGAGTCTCAGTTTCCCAATTTGCATAATGAGGGGGGCTTAGCTTAGATCATTGGGTTTTTGTTTTAAAGTTCATTGGCAGTAATTCTCAATAACAAATACATTTTATATCACAATATAATTCACAAAAACTTTCAGGTATAAATATGTGAGAAATGCATATTCTTCATATACAATGGTGCTTCCAAAAGTTTATGGAAAAATTCCATGATCTTTTCTTGTTATTTGTCCCATGAATTTTTTGAAGCCCCTTGTATATATAAATGAAAATCATTTCACAAAAAATGCTTACCCTTACTAAGTGCAAGTATCCAATTTTCTGATGCATTCTATATTAGTTTTTTGTTTGTTTGTTTGTTTGAATGGCTTTTCATGGTCCATTAAATTGATTTGGCCCAACTACTAGGAGTCCCAGAGTCCTGGTGTGGCACTGTCAGTTAACACGCCAGACTGCAAGCCATTTAAACTGCAAGGTCAACAGTTCAAGCTCACCAGCTGCTCCTCAGAAACTCTATACAGGGTCGCTATGGGTCAGAACTGACTTGACAGCATTTAACAACAACAACTAGGAGTCCTATGGAATCCTGGTATGGTGCTGTGGGTTAATGCGCTGAACTGTAAAGTCAGTTTTCACTGCAAGGTCCGCAGTTTCAGTTCACCAGCTACTCCTCGGAAACCCTATACAGGGTCACTATGGGTGGGAACAAGCTCGATGGCACTTAACAATAACAACTAGGAGTCCTAAGTAGCTCTGGTAGCATAGTGGTTATGAGTCAGGCTGCTAATCTCAAGGTCAGCAGTTCAAAACTACCAGCAGTTTCACTAGAGCAAGATGAGGCATTCTGCTTCCGTAAAGATACACAGCCCCGGAAACCCTCTACAGGGTGGCTATGAGTTGAAACCGACTCCATGGCACATAACCACCACTAGTCCTGGTATAGCACTGTAGGATAAGCACTGTTGGTTTGAGCCACAAAGTCAGCGGTTCAAACTCACCAGGTGCTCCTCAGAAACCCTATACAAGGTCACTATGAGTCGGAATCGACTCAAGGGCACTTAACAACAACTAGCCTAGTGGGTTCAGCTGCTAACCACAAAGTCAGTGGTTAAAACTCCTCAGGGAGAAGATTGTTGTAAAGTGCCATCAAGTCAGTTCCAACTCATAGCAACCCAATGTAGAGTTTCTGAGGAGTAACTGGTGAGTTTGAAAGGCCAACCTTGTGGTTCAAACTGACATTGCGATGCTGCACTTCTCCTATAGTGCCACACCAGGATTCCATAAAGATTGTGTTGCTAAGTGCCATCTAGTGGGTTCTGACTCATAGTGACCCTGTATAAGGTTTCCGAGGAGTAGCTGGTAGGTTTGAACTGCTGACCTTGTGATTCGTAATGCAGTGCTTATCTTAGAGTACCACACCTATTGGCAGATCTACTCAGAACTGACTACACAATAGTGGGTTTTAGTTTGGGGGCTAGGCCCTCCACCTGCGTCTAGACACACTGACCCTACTTTGATTCTCTGAGAGCAATTGGAGGCCAGAACACAGAGGAGCCCCAGAAGTCCTGCAGTCAGGGTTGGGACCCTACCGTTCATCACTGGTCAGGGCACAACAACCTATCAGCCCCTGGGTTCCTGGACTATCCCCTTATGGGACCCTGAGATAGAGGACCTTCATCAGAGAGGCTTTAGGTTGGGCCACAGTCCATCAGGGTACCCCTCCCTGCCGTGGCCATAGAACCTGAGAATATAAAGGGGACCCCTCAAAATAGTTACCATTTTTTGTGTGCTAAAGCACTGCTGTGGAGTCTTTCATTTAATCCTTACAACTCTGTGGTGTGAGGACAATCATCCCCATTCTCAGATGTGGAAATTGTGGCTGGGAGACAATAGGGGCTGGGCTTGGTTACTAGTCAACTCCTTTGTGTTGCTCTGAGGGACTAGCTGTGAAGAATGGGCAAGTGGGGCTACAGGAGAGCCTGAGGGAGGAGGTCCTGGCCCTGAGTCCCTCCTACTTTCTCTTCAGGGAGGTTTTCTTTCATCCTCAGCCTGGAGCCTCCTCTGACAGGCCCTTGGATCTGCCATGTTTTAAGACCTGGCTCAGCCATCTATTCTACATGAGTCTGACATGTGTATCACATTCCTGCTGTGTCCCCGGCCTGGGCCAGTGTCCCCATCCTCACAATGCAGGAGACTCATGGGGAGACCTGATACCAAGCACTAGGGCAGGGATCATGCAATGTTTGGCTCAGGCAGGGCCTGGAACATGAAAGTGCCAGTGTTGGTTGGTTTCAGCCGTCAGGATGGGGAGGGGAATTCTCCACCCAGGTTCCCTAGGGAAGCCTGAGCTCCCCAATCCCTAAGAAACCAGGCCTTGGCACTGTGGGAACAAACCCAACATCCAGGGCCATCCTGCTGGACCTCTTCCTCTATTCCCTACAGGCTGGGCAAATTGACGCTGTGACGCTGAGGGGTGAAGACATTTACCTGGCAGGGAAGATGTATGGCCTGGTTCCAGCTGCCGGGGAGCACTATTCAGGTGAGTGTAGGTGCCAGTCACCAGCCTCAGCTTGTGGTTGTTGATATTTGTTTACATATGTACCCTCTGAGCCATTTTCAAAAACTCCACCCAGCTCCTTGGGACAGCAGCTGGGTCCAGGAGGCCAGGCTATGAAGCTTCCCCAAGGGCCTCAGGCAGAAAGTGGTATGAAAGAGCGGGGTGGGGCTGGAGGGGCCCCCTACTCTCTAGGGTTGGGTTCAGTCACCTCTCACTCAGTTTCCCTCTCCCTGGGGTGACTGCTATCTTTCACTAGGGAAGCCCCTCGGGTCCTAGCCCTCAGTTTCCCCATCTGTTCAATGAGAAAGTCTAGCACATTAACAAAACTTTCTGTAAAGGGTTGAAATGTAAACATGAGTTCAGCAAGCTTTGCAGGCCACTGTTAGGATAAACACTGAACTGTTAAACTGAAAGGTAGGCAGTTCAAACACACCAGCTGCTTCTCAGAAACCCTACTCAGGGTCTATGAGTTGGAACTGACTCAATGGCACATAACAACAACAGTTGAAAATGTGGTTGCCTTAGCAGGGATAGACCAAATGATTTCATGTTCCCCCCCTCCCCCCCCCCTGCTGTGGAGTTCTGGTGTGTTGCTGTGGGTTGATGTGCTAGACTGAAAAGTAGGTTTGAACTGCAAGGTTGGCAGTTCAAGCTCACCAGCCTATACAGGGTTATTATAGGACAGAACCGACTTTGCAACAACCCCTCTTATACAGAGTTCTTATAAGTCAAATTCAACTCAATAGCAGTGAATGAGTGGTTACTTTTAGAACCCTTAGACATATAAAATCCTTAGCATTCAGGCCTGGGCATACAAAAGAGAGGTCTCCTGGCTTCCTCCAGCCCTGACGGTAGTGGCCCATGGACTTGCCCCCAGAGGTTCACGGTCCTTGTCACACATGCACACTTGGAAGCAGCCTGAGCTGGGGCTTTAGCCTCTGCCCTCTTCCCTGGCCCCTTCCACTTAAATGTGAAAAAGCTTCTGTCCGTCTCAGCTAACTAGGCCTCTACTTTTCTCCAGGAGGGAGAAAAACACCACCTGGGTGTCAGGACGGACTCTCCCTTTTGTCCCTTATGTAGTTAAGGTCCTGGGTTCTGAAAGCACAGAGCTGCTCTGGGGCAGGGTCCCGCAATCCAGCCATTACTTAGGTAGAAGAAAGAAAGAAATCTCTTTGACCTGAAGACTGCTGGGAGCAGTGGAGGTGGGGGTGGGATGGAGCAGCAGTCAGAGCTGGGAGACTAGGATGGTAGCTGAGGGGAGGGAGACAGAAGGGAGTGGGCTTTGAGGGGGAGGGCGTCCGATGAAGATCCGCCCAGCCCTTGCTGAGACCCAGGGAAGGCAGTTGAGGAGCCCCTCATGTGATGCCACCACCACCACCCCACCCCACCCCGTACCCCCAGCGGAGGACAAGAGCAACTCGTACTTCGTGGTGGCCGTGGTGAAGCGGAACAGCTCTTACGCCTTCACCATGGATGAGCTTCGGGGCAAGCGCTCCTGCCACCCTGGCTTCGGCAACCCCGCAGGCTGGGACGTCCCCGTGGGCTCCCTCATTCAGAGGGGCTTCATCCGGCCCAAGGACTGCGACATCCTCACAGGTACCACCTGCCCGATCAGAGACGAGGGAACCCCCTTTTGGGATTGACTGGGGACAGTGGTCAACTTCCAGCAGGACCCCACACAAAGGCAGCACCTGAGAGAAGATTAACTAACTTTTCCTCCTGGACCCACCCCTTGCTCTCCGGAAGGTTTGGGAATATTCTTGGCCACACCTTTAACAGTAAGGGGTGTCTGTCCAGTCTTTGGAGGACCCAGGGTACCTACGCCTACCCACTTACCCAAAGCAGGCTCAGTGGATGTGGAACTAGCACCAGTGGGCCGTGGGAGTGGGCAGTGGGCATGGCTGTGTTGCTGTCCAGCCAAGAAACTGGGGGACCTTTATGGACAATGTTAGGAACCTGCTTAAATAAGTGCTGAATCAGGGTGGGGGCAGAGAGGCAGAAGAAGAGATGTCCACCAACCACCCACCATAAGCCCTTCTTCCTATGGGTTAAATCCTGCAACATTCATGATGAAAGGAAGGCAATAGGAAGCTGCTAAGATCCTTGGGAAGACTGACCTCTGTCCTGGGGCTGACAGCTCAGGGGAAAACCATTATTTTCTAACCACACACCAAGTACATAGAGATATGGATTGGGGTTGGTTGCTTCCACTACCAGACAGCTCTGACTGGAACAGAATAGCCAATAAGGTGGTGAGCCCTCTGTACTTGAGGGAATCCAAGCACAGACTGGGTGACTACTTATCAGAGGTGTTGATAGAGTTTCTCTCCTTCCCCGCCATCCCAGAGGACTGCTGCTCTGAGCTGGGTGTGAAGTGGAACAGATGGGTGGTATTGGCCATGGGGCCCAACAAAGCAGGTGGATTTGTAAGGGAGTGACCCAGGCCTCTATCCTGGCCTGCGCTGCCTGCTGACCCCTTCATCACAGCCCCTTCTCCTGTTACCCAGCTGTAAGCGAGTTCTTCAGTGCCAGTTGCGTGCCTGTGAACAACCCCAAAAGCTACCCGTCCTCGCTGTGTGAGCTGTGTGTGGGTGATGAGCAGGGCCGCAACAGGTGTGTGGGAAACAGCCAAGAGAGGTACTACGGCTTCAGTGGCGCCTTCAGGTATCTGAAATGGGTCTGTGGGTGGGTCTGCACTCGGAGCCAAAGGTAGGCTCCTCCTGCCCATTATCTTCCTTGTCCCCTTGTCTGCAGGTGCCTCACAGAGAATGCTGGGGATGTTGCCTTCGTCAAGCACACAACTGTCTTTGACAACACAAATGGTGTGTGAGGGGACGTGGGCCAGGTGTCTGAGGGGGGCTGTTCCCTAGTACCCAGCACAATCCAGGCACTGGGTATTGCTGGGATTGGAGTCCTGGGTGGTCACTGGGAGACACTAGATCTAGAAGACTTCTAGAATCTGGAGCACTGTGGTTAAGAACAGAGCAGATATGCAAGATACATCTTTACCTTTATCATTCTGGAGTTCCAGCCCCTATCCCACCGAAATGGTAGAAACTCAATCTCAATCAATCATTTGAAGAGACACCCACACACAGAAACACAGACTTTTGGGAACATTTATGTAGTGCCAAGGTGTGTGAGTAGAGGAGGGGGTAGCAGGGTCATCAGCTCATTGCCCCCTATAAGAAGTCATGCTGCAGCCTCCCCCCAACACACATCTATGCCAAGGTAGGACCTGCCCCAGGACATACTACACCATCTGGAATCATCTCTCACCTGGGAGAAAGCACCCAGGAACTTTCTGATACAAGACTCCCTAAACCTTAGCTTACATCACTACCACCCTCCTGTTTGCCACCAGTCAGAGAATCTATATTTCTTGAAGAAGGGGAGTCCCTGGGTAATGCAAGCCATGCTCAACTGCTACCTGAAAGGTTGCTGGTTTGAGTCCACCCAGAGGTGTCTCCCACTATTCCTCTGTCAGTCTGTTGTACTGTGTGGCTTGTGTGTTGCTGTGATGCTGGAAGCTATACCACCAGCATTTTTAAATACCAACAAGGGCACCCATGCTGGACAGGTTTCAATGGAGCTTCCAAACTAAGATAAACTAGGAAGGAGGGGCGCACTGCTTCTAAAAGGTTAGCCACTGAACACCTTATAATAGCAGTGGAACACTGATATAGTGCTAGAAGATGAGTCCCTCAGCTTGGAAGGCACTCAAAATATGAATGGGGAAGAGCTGCCTCTTCAAAGTAGAGTTGACCTTAATGACATGGATGGAGGTTCATTTGCTGATGAGGCACAACTCAAAATGGGAAGAAATAGCTGCAAGCATCCATTAATAATCAGGACATGGAGTGTACAAAGTATAAATCTAAGAAAAGTAGAAGTCATCCAAAATGAAATGGAACATATAAAGATCGATATCCTAGGCATTAGAGAGCTCAAACGGACTAGTATTGGCCGTTTTTAACATCACAATCATATGATTTAAGATGCCAGGAACGACAAACTGAAGAGTAATGGCATCTCGCTCATTGTCAAAAAGAACCTTTCAAGATCTGTTTTGAAGTACAGTGCTGTCTGTAATAAGTTAATATCCATACATGTACAGGGAGGACAGTTAATAACACTAGAGAATTCTACCAACTTCTTCAGACTGAAATTGACAAAATATGCAATCAAGTTGCACTGATAATGATTTTGGAATGTGGTAGTTGAAAACAAAAAGAAAGGATCAGTAGTTGGAAACATGGTCTTGCTGATAGAAATGATGTGGAGATCTCATGATAGAATTTTGCAAGACAATGACTTATTCATTGCAAATACCTTTTTAAAAATAACATAAAAGGTCTCACCAGATGGAACACACTGGAATCAAATGGACTATATCTGTAGAAAGAGACAATGAAGACATTCATTAACATCAAATAAGTTCAGTATCACCAAAATCAGACCAGGGCAAACTGTAGAACAGACCATTAATTGCTCATATGTAAGTTCAGGCTGAACCTGAAGAAAATTAAAGCAAGTCTACAAGAGCCAAAATGTGACCTTAAACACATCCCACCTGAATGTAGAAATCATCTCAAGAACAGATTTGATGCATTAGACACTAATGACTGAAGAGCAGAAGAGTTGTGGGATGACGTCAAGAACACAGTACAGAAAGAAAGCAAAAGGTCATTAAAAAGACAAGAAAGAGGAAAAGACCAAAATGGATGTCAAAAGAGATTATGAAACTTAATCTTGAGTATGTTGTTATTCTTAAGTGCTTTCATGTCAGTTCCAACTCATAACAACCCTGTTCAGGGTTTACGAGATGTTGCTGGTGGGTTTGAATCGCTGACCTTACATTTAGCAGTCTAGTGCTTATTTTACATTGCCTTTACTCATGAGTATAGGTGAATATGAAGTTAAAGAGCTGAACGGAGCATTTCAAAGGGTAACTCAAAAAGACAAAGTCAAATAAATATTATGTGCAAATTAATGATCTGTGCAAAGACCTGGACTTAGAAAACCAAAAAGGGAAGAACACAGCATTTCTCAAGCTGAAAGAACTGAAACCAAAATTCAAGCCTTGAGTTTCCATATTGAAGGATTCTACAGGTAAATATTAAGGGGCTCTGGTAGCATAGTGGTTACGAATCGGGCTGCTAATCTCACGGTTAGCAGTTCAAAACTACCAGCTGTTCCACGGGAGAGAGATGAGGCTTTCTGCTCCCGTAAAGATTTACAGCCTCAGAAACCCTGTACAGGGTCGCCATGAGTCGGAACTGACTCCACGGCACATAGCAACAACATCAACAACAGGTAAATATTGAGTGATGCAGCAAGCAACAAAAGAAGATGAAAGGAATACACTGAGTTAGTGTACCAAAAAGCTGGTTGATGCTCAATCATTTCAAGAGGCAACGTATGATCAAGAACCGACAATTCTGAAGAAAGAAACCCAAGTTGCACTGAAGGCATTGGCCAAAAACAAGGTTCCAGGAATTAATTGAAAATAAATTGAAATGTTTCAACATACTGCTGCAGTGCTGGAAGCAATCACTCATCTATGCCAAGAAATTTGGAAGACAGCTACCTGGCCAGCCAATTAGAAGAGCTAGATATTTGTGTTTATTCAAAACAGAATGTGAAAATCATTGAATAATATTAATAATATCACATGTAAGTACATTTTTGCTGCAGATAATTTAAAAACAATTGCAGTAGTATAACAACAAGGAGTTGCCAGAAATCCAAGCGGATTCAGAAGATCATTGGAATGAGGGGTAACATTGCTGACGTCAAATGGATTTGGCTAAAAGCAGAGAATACCAAAAAGGTGTTTACTTGTGCTTTAGCGACTACACAAAGGTATTTGACCTGTGGATCATAACAAACTCTGGATAACATTGTGAGGAATGAGTATTCCACAACACTTAATTGTGCTTGTGAGAAACCTGTACATAGAATAAGAGGCAGTTGTTAGAACAGAACAAAGGATGCAGGATGGTTTAAAATCAGAAAAGGTGTGCATCAGGGTTATATCCTTTTACCATACTTAATCTGTATGCTGAGCAAATAATCCAAGAAACTGGACTGTATGAAGAATGTGGCATCAAGATTGGAAGAAGACGGGTTAACAACATATGCAGATGACACAATCTTACTTGCTGGAAGCCCAAGAAGCCTCTAAATACTTACTGATGAAGATCAAAGACTCCAGCCTACGGAATGGATTGTACCTCAATGTAAAAAAAAAAAAAAAAAAAGTTTTTTAATGAACATACAACTGGAGCAATAAATAACATCATGATAAATGAGAAAAGACCAAAGTTGTCAAATATTTCATTTTGCTTAGATCCACAATCAGCATTCATGGAAGCAGTAGTCAAAAAATCAACCGACATACTGCATTAGGCAAATCTGTTGCAAAAGACTGCTATAAAATGTTAAAGAGCATACTTTGAGTATTAAAGTGCACTTGACCCAAGCCATGGTCTTTTCAATAGCCTCATATGCACATAAAATTTGGACAATGAGTAAAGAAAACTGGAGAAGAATGAGTGTATTTGAGTTATGGTGGTGTTGGAGAAGGATATTGAAAGTACCATGGATCGCCAGAAGAACAAATGAATCTGTCTCACAAGATGAACAGCCACAATGCTCCTTAGGAGCAAGAAAGCAAATTGAGACTTCATGTCTTATACTTTGGGCATGTTTCCAGGAGGGGCCAGTCCCTGGAGAAGGACATCATTTTTGGTAAAGTAGAGCGTCAACAAAAAAGAGGAAGACCCACAACGAGATGGATTGACACTGGCAGCAATGATCAGCTCAAACATCATAATTGTGAGGTTGGCACAAGACCAGGTAGTGTTTTATTGTGTTGTGCATAGGGTCCCTATGAATCAGAACCCATCCCACAGCAACTAACAACAGATGTGCCTCACAAAAAAGACCTGGCAGTCTATTTCTGAAAACTCAAACACGGAAAACCCTACAGAGAACATGTCCACTGACGTACATGCGGCCATCCTGAGTCCCAGTCAACTCCTTGGCAACTGGCTGGGTTTTGAAGACTGAAGCCTGTTTCCCCACAGCACCTGTTGTTTGTATTCCCTGCATGCACTGCTCACATCCCAGGCTGGAGTTCCCATCTTCTTTATCTTTTCGTAATACGTCTCCTTCTGGAGACACAGCCCTTAAAGGCCTACTTTTGAGAGTCAGCTAAGGGGAAGCATGACATGCAGGAAAAAAACATTGACTAATCTTTCAAAACTCTGACCCCACCATGCCTGTGAAGGATACCATTTGTAACAGAACTGGAGAGGGTTCCAGGTGCCTCTCTCCTGCCCAGCTCCACAAACAAGGCGCTCTGCCTGGCCCACAGCTATCCACTCTTTGGCCCTGGGATGGAGTCAGGGGAGAAGTGGGGGCTCTGGAGCCTCCCTTGAAGAAAGGCATCTCCTGAGTCCCACTTTCCAGTGCAGCTCATTTCTCGTTTCTCTTTATCTATGTTCTTGGACTCTTCTCAAGTGCCTTCTGGGAGAGGATGAAAGTGACTACTCAGTGAATACCTGGAAACACAAAAATAACGTGACTCCCAAGGGCTGTGTATCTCAGGATACTTTGAAGTAACCATTTGCTTCAGAATTACTGGAACACTTGTTTAAAATGCAGCTCCTGGGCCCTAACTTGTTGTTGTTATTGTTAGTGCCATTGAGTCAGTTCCAAGTCACAGTCACCCTGTTTAAGGTTTCCCAGGAGTCGTTGGTGAATTTGAACTGGCAACCCTTTGGTTCAAGCTGACCTTGTGGTCCAGTGCTTATCCTACAGCACCACACAAGGACTCCACTAACTTGACAGTCTTTTGTAATTGTTGTTGTTGTTAAGTGCCGTCAGGTCGGTTCGACCCATAGTAACTCTATAGGTGGTTTCCAAGGACTGACTGGTGAACTTGAACTGCCCACCTTGCAGCTCCAACCAACATTGCAGTCCAGCGTATTAACCCACAGCGCCACACCAGGGCTCCCTGGGGTCCTTTAAACTGCATCCTACAGACCCATAGGTGGGTGATGGTATACCACCTCCAGTTTGAGAATGTCAGTCTTTAGGGGAGGAGGTCAACCACCACCTTCAGAAACCGACCCTACCCCAGAGCCAAAACACAAAGCACACAGATGGGGTAGTGGTTACAAGCCTCAGTTTCCTTACCTGTTAAATGGGGTCGTAATGCCTGTCCTGAATTACTGTTGTGATGATCAAACAAGGTTTTTAAAGTGTTTGCTGCACACTCAGTTCTCACTAATAATATCAACACAACTAGATCCCCTTGTCCTAGTGATTACACAGCTGGAGAACCAGTCCCCCCAGTGAATGATTTGTGGATGCAGGAGCAAAGCAGTCTCTCTCTCTCTCTCTCCCTTCCTGTCCCCTTAGGCCACAATCCTGAGCCCTGGGCTGCAGAGCTCAAGTCCAAGGACTATGAGCTGTTGTGCCCCAATGGGGCTCGGGCTGAGGTATCCCAGTTCTCAGAATGCAACCTGGCACACATGCCATCCCACGCCGTCATGGTTCGCTCTGATACCAACATCTTCACGGTGTATGGACTTCTGGACAAGGCCCAGGTGAGCCAGGGCTGGGACTACCATGGTGGGAGTGGACCACAAGGGCCAGCCAAATCCCCTCAGAGACCTTAACTAGCCTCAACTGGCTCCCAAGAGGAACTGAAGGAGCTTGGAGGAAAATTCTGTGAGCTTCATTTACCCAGGGACATCCACCCCACAACTATCCCTTCCTTCTGCATCAGTAACTTCTTCATAATTGGATCATTCCCACCAACGTGCAAATGTGATTTCTAGCATCTTTAAAACATAAGCATGCCCTGTCTTGGTGTCCATCTTGGAGCTACTACCCTGCTCCCTTTAAAGCAGAACTCCAGAGAGTGGTCTGTGTTCTGTAGTCCCAGATCTCTCTCCATCTGGTCTCCCCTAAGGATAGGGCCTCCTCTAGAAAGGCCCTGAGACTACCCTCATCAAGGTTGCAGGGATACCATGATGTGAATCCTCAGGGTACCTGACCTCTCCCTCCTCTGGGAAACACTTCTCCCCACATTGACTCTCAGGTCCTAATAGGTGTCCAGCTTTCCTCCCCTTCTCTCCTTGGCAACTCCCTCCTCATGTCTGTGACCTGTAAATGCTCGAATGCCCGTGGCTCAGACATAAGCCCTCTTCTCAGTCTATACCCATGCCCTTGTTGATTTCACCCAGACTGTCATTATTAAATACTATCTATATGCGGGGGACTCGTGGTGTGGCGCCAGACTGCAATGTTGGTTTGAACCACAAGGTTGGTAGTTCAAGCTCACCAGCTGCTCCTAGGAAACCCTATCAGGGTCACTTTGGGTTGGAACCAACTCGACGTCACTTAACAACAACAACAGAATATGCAGATGGTGGTGGTGTAGATTCTGTATGCTATGTCACCAGCATTTGAAATACCAGCAGGGTCACCCATGGTGGATGGGTTTCAGCTGAGCTTCCAGACTAAGACAGACTAGAAAAGAAGAGGCAAACTACTCCTGAATGTGTTGCCACTGAAAACCTTACGAATAACAGCAAAACATTGTCCGATGAGCCCTTCAGGTTGGAAGCCACTCAAAATATGACTGGAGAAAAGCAGTCTCCTCAAAGTAGAGTTGACCATGATGACACAAATGGAGCTTTCGAGGCCTTCATTTGCTTATGTGGCACAACTTAAAATGAGGAGAAACAGCTGTAAACATTCATTAATAATCGGAACATAGAATGCACAAAGGAAATCTTTAAAATTTGGAAAATTGGAAGTTGTCAAATATGAAATGGAACATGTAAAGATTGATATCCTAGGCATTGCTATTGTTGGTGTTGTTAAGTGCCATCGAGCTGGTTCCGACTCATTGCAACTCTGTATAGGCTTCCCAAGGAGTGACTGGTGAGTTTGAACCACTGACTGTGCAATTCAAACTGACGTTGCAGTCCAGCTCACCACACCAGGACTTGAACTGGTATTGGCCATTTTGAATCTGACAATCACTTGATTAACTATACCTGGAATGACATAGCATTCATCTTCAGAAAGAGCATTTCAAGATGTATCGTGAAGTACAAGGCTGTTTGTGATAGGATAATATCCATACATCTACAAGAGAGACTAATTAACACCACTATTATTCAAATTTACCCACCAACTGGTAAGCCTATGATGTTTAAATTGAAAATTTTTACCAACTGCTTCATTCTGAAATTGATCAAACATACAATCAAGATGATAATTACTGGTGATTCTAATGCATGGTTAGAAGCAAAGAGTTGGAAAATACGGCTTTGGTGATAGAAATGATGCTGGAGATCACATGATAGAATTTTTAAGAACGATGACTTATCCATTACAAATATCTTTTTCAAAAAACAGAAAAGGAAATTATAACATAGACCTCACCAGATGTAATACACAGGAATCAAATTGACTACATCTGTGGGAAGGGGCCGGGGAAAAGCTTCACATCATCAGCCAAATCAAGGCCAGAGGCTAACTGTGGAACAAACCATGAATTGCCCATATGAAAGGAGCTCTGGTAGCGTAGTGGTTATGAACTGGGCTGCGAACCACAGGTCAGCAGTTTGAAACTACCAGCTGTTCCGCAGAAGAACGATGAGGCTTTCTGCTCCCATAAAGATTTACAACCTCGTAAACCGTGTACAGGGTTGCTATGAGTCAAAACCAACTCCATGGCCCATAACCACCACCAAGTTCAGGCTGAAGCTGAAGTAAATTAAAACAATTCCACGAGATCCAAAATATGACCTTGAACATATCCCACCTGAAAGTAGAGACCATCCCAAGAACAGATTTGATTCATTGGACGCTAATGACCTAAGAACAGAAGAATTGTAGGATGACATTAAGAACATCATACAGGAAGAAAGCAAAAGGTGATTAAACAAACAAGAATGAAAGAAAAGACCAAAATGGATGTCAGAAAAGACTCCACCTTTATCCCTTCCTGGCCATCTTGACAACTGCTCTTGGATAGGGGCCATCCCACACCTAAGGTGGAAAGATGGTGGGCACAACGAAGATGAAAAAGTCACTGGAGGCAATCACCTCTAGGCTCCAACTTGTTATGAAAAGAGGAAAATACATGCTGGTGTACAAGCAGACTCTGAAGATGATTAGGCAAGGCAAAGCGAAGTTGTTGGTCATCCTCGCCAACAATTGCCCGGCCTTGAGGAAATCAGAGACATAGTACTACGCCATGTTGGTCAAAACTGGTGCCCATCACTAGAGAGGCAATAATATTGAATTGGGCACAGCGTTTGGAAAGTCCTCCAGAGTTTGCACACTGCAGGTAGAATCCAGGTGATTCCAATATCATTAGAAGCATGCCAGAACAGACTGGTGAAAAATAAATCATACAATTTTTGTTTTCTTTAATAAAGCTGGCCTGAACTTGTTCAAAAAAGAAGAAAAACTCCATTTGCTCTCCAGCATAGAGATGATAAAAACGATTGGATGAAATGAGGAAGTAAAAGAGTTGCACAGAAAATTTCAAAGGCAGCTCGATAAGACAGACTTAAGTATTATAATGAAATGTGCAAAGACCTGGAATTAGAAAACGAAAAGGGAAGAACACACTCAGCATTTCTCAGGCTGAAAGAACAGAAGGAAAACATTCAAGCCTAGCATTACAATACTGAAGGATTCCATGGGCAAAATATTGAATGATGCAGTAAGTATCCAAAGAAGACAGAAGATGTATACACAGTCACTGTAACAAAAGAAATGGTTGATGTTCAGCCATTTCAAGAAGTAGCATATAACCAAGAACTGATGATACTGAAGGAAGAAGTCTAAGCTGCATTGAAGGTATTGATGAAAAGCAAGGCTCCAGAAGTTGACAGAATACACATTGAACTATTTCAACAAACTGATGGAGCACTCGAGCCATTCACACAAATTATGCTAAGATATTTTGAAGACAGCTATCTGGCCAACCAATTGGAAGAGATTCATATTTGTGCCCATTCCAAAGAGAGGTGATCCAATGAAATGTGGAAATCATTGGACAACATCATTAATATCACATGAAAGTAAAATTTTGCTGAAGATAATTAAAAAATGGCTGCAACAGTACATTAGCAAGGAACTGCCAGAAACTCAAGCTGGATTCAGAAGAGGACGTGAAACTAGGGATATCATTACTGACGTCAGATGGATCTTAGCTGAAAGCAGAGAATATCAGGAAAATGTTTGCTTGTGCTTTATGGACTATGCAAAGCTTTCAACTGTGTAGACCATGACAAGCTATGTGAAGAATGGGTATTCCATAACTTGATTGTGCTCATGAGGAACCTGTACATATAATAAGAGGCAGTCATTTCAACAGAGCAATGGGATACTGAATGGTTTAATATCAGGAAAGGTGTGTGCCATGGTTATATCCTTTTACCATACTTATTCCACCTGTGTGGTGAGCAAATAATCTAAGAAGTTGGATTATATGGAGAAGAATGTGGCATCAGGATTGGAGGAAGACTCATTAACAATCTGTGATATGCAGATGAAGGCAAAGAGGACTTAAAATACTGATGAACATTGAAGACTGCAGCCTTCAGCATGAATTACATCTCAATGTAAAAAAAACAGAAATCCTCACAACTGGACTAGTAAATAATATCATGATAAAAGGAGAAATTCTCTGCTTTCAGCCAAGATCTGTCAGACATCAGAATGATATCCCTCGTTCTGAATCCGGCTTGAACCTCTGGAAGTTCTCTGTCAATGTATGCTTCCAGCCATTTCTGTATTACTTTTAGTAAAACTTTACTTGCGTGAGGTATCAAAGCAATTGTCCGATGATTTCCGCATTCCGTTGGGTCACCTCTCTATGGAATGGGCACAAATATGCATCTCTTCCAATCAGTTGGCCAGATAGTTGTCTTCCAAATTTCTTGCCAGAGATGAATGAATGCTTTCTGTGCCACCTCACTTTCTTGAAAAGATTTCCATTTTATTCCATCAATTCCTGGTGCCTTGTTCTTTGCCAATTCCTTCAATGCACCTTGGACATCCTCCTTCAGTATTATTGGTCCTTGATTATATGCTACCTCTTGAAATGGTTGAACATGAACCAATTCCTTTTGGTACAGTGACTCTGTGTATTCCTTC